TGTGTGTGTGTGTGTGTGTGTGTGTGTGTGTGAGATGGGATGAATGGCATGTTAGTGGATGTTTTGGGCTGTGAGGATCAGAATGTAGACTACAGAGCACAAGATGTGCTTTACACCCCTCAGCTCACACCTTGCTCTCCCCCTGTGCAGCGTAGGAGGGAAATTAGCAGTTCACATTAATTTTTCATGAAACTCTTTTCATAGATGCCAGCCATGATGCCACCAATGATTCCAGGAATGATGATGCCCCCACGCATGCCAGCTGCATCAATCCAGCCTACAGGACCGGTAAGCTAGCCTGTATATCACACTACTCCACCAGCGCCGGTTAAATATAGACCCTCGCATGCTGTCAGCAGTGTCAGAATAACCCTACTGAACACACTGCAAAGTGGGAAAATGTACCAATTTAGAATCAACACCATTTTATATAGCACTTACCCATGTGACACGAGTGATAGTAGCGGAAGAGATCGGCTTGCTCTACTAATTTATTTCAGTGTATGATGCTGTACGTCTCCTTCCCTGCATTAGCACACTTTGTTAGTATTCAATTTTAGTTAGACTTTAATAAAGGCATCCTATAATGGACAGCAGGATTGTTCTTGCTTTTTTTAGTCCACGCAGAACATTTGAAACTAAAGCACAAAAACAGCGTTCAGAAATCATCATGATTGATATCACAAAACATTCACATTTACAGCCTCTCAGAGAGGGTGGAAAATGGTAATGAAAAACAACAATGTAAATGAAGGTATCATCAGGAAGCAAGCATACTGTAACTTTCAGAACTTAGTCCAAAAAGAACATTCATTAGGCATGTTTACATGCACTCATTTATTCAATCCAAAAAGTTTTGATTTCAGTTTCTGAAAGCTCTGTTTATAGTTATTAATTTAACTGTGTATTACATCTATTCTGAACAGAATCTCAGTGCTAGCTGCTGCTTTAGGAAGAGAGAAAGCCAAAAATATGTCTGAAAAACGTAAACACCAAAATTCAGTTTGTCGACATATGCTACTGTTCAAAAGGTTTTATTTAGAAAAGTGAATAGAATGGCAAAAACGATCATTTATTTGAAATCAAATTTTTTTTTTGTTACAGTGCTAAATTTTACTATCACTTTTCATCACTTTAATGCATCTTTTGCTAAATGAAATTATAATTTTTTCTTAAAAAAAAAATAAAAATCTTACCTACCCCAAACTTTTGAAGAGTGCAATACATTTCAGTCTCAATGTAATTTAGTTTTGCAAAGAGGCTGTTACTGGTGGATGGGGCAGTTAAAATCTATGTTGAGCTCATTTTAAATCTGTCTTCAGCCAAAAAATGCAAACATTATCAAAGTTACTAACATTACAACATTAAATGTTAAAGTATATGATATGACCCACTTAATGTCTGCACTGCTTATGTATTTCCTTAAAAGGAAGGCAGTACCTACACATTAGCTCTGAATGTGATGGTGTATAATGTACATGGAGAGAAAAGTGTGGAAAGTGGAGTCATATCTGACCAATAACACGAAACAGACAAGTTCAATTAGAGCGGCTTAATTCATTTGTGTTTCAAAGCACTACTTCACTAGTGAATATGGATGGAAGGACACCGTTCCAGTTCAGTGTGTATATATAAGAACAAACGTACCATACGGGTGCAGTTCTTTATTTTGAACACACCTCCTCAGTGCTGATTAAGATGCTGCTTTCATTTAATCAGCTATATTAAGCATCAAACAGCCTGTCGTTAGTTAACCATATTAAATATTGATAGCATCAGTAATAATTAGCACCGGCTTTGAGCTGTAGATGCTCCAGGAGCTGTCAGTCAGGGTGTCATTTCCCTTTCCTGTAGTTTGGGGAATGGAGACTGCTAATGAAGTTATCTCTGATATCTTTAGATCTGCTCATGAACTAATTTAATTCCGACAATTATTGACAGGGCTTTCTTGGATGATGTGAAGTTTCAAGTCATTTAAAAGATATCACACGTAAATCAGCTTATTATTTTGCTTGGTTTACTTTTTGTAATGAAGCACTCTTTCTCTTTATGTCCTTCTCAGCCTGGTGTGAGTCCAGTGGAGTCTGCAGGTGAGAGATTAAATAGTTTTGGGTAAAAATCATGTTGTTGATTATTATTTCTAAATGTAATCAGTGGTTTTGTTCTATTTCAGCACCGGCTGCTCCTGGAACAACTGTAAGAACAAACAACCAAAAGCGTTATTGTTGATATTGTTTAGTTAGGATTCTGATTGAAATGACTTTCCTGTCTTGAAAAAAATACTTTTTTTTTTTTTTTCTTCATGGATTTTTTTTCCCTCCTAGAGCACCACATCAACCGAATCTTCACCTGATGAACAGACAAAAAAGGCAAGACACAATAAACAGTTATTATCGTTCATAAAATACTATACATGCCTAAAATTACAGTATAGTTTAAAAATGTATATAATATAAAATACAGTTTGTATCTCTCAGTTTTATCCAAAGTTCTTCCAAACCTGTATGCAATCCTTTCTTCTGTTGAACACGAAAAAAGGTATTTTGAAAAATGTTTGTAACCAAACAGTTTGTGGTCCCCATTGATTTCCATAATATTTTTATATTATTTATTTATTTTCTTAATATGGAAGTCAGTGGCTACTAGCAGCTGCTTGGTTACAATTCTTCAAAATATCTTCTTTTGCGTTCAACAGAAGCAAACTCGTACAGGTTTGTATCACTTAGTTTGTCACTAATGATGTAATGAGCCAAGTGTTCATGATGTCTCCTGCAGAAGTCAGTATGGACTGAGCACAAATCACTGGATGGAAAAACATATTACTACAACACAGAGACCAAACAATCCACCTGGGAGAAACCAGATGAACTCAAATCACCTGCAGAGGTAAAAAAAAAGGTCAACACACCCTTCTTGCTTACACAGTCATACTTCATCTGCCAGTTACTGTTCATTCAGGAGGTCATGACCTTTAGGCATACTCTGCATTTGAGAGTCTAATGTATTACTGTTACTACTTGTTAGTAGGAGTGCTCCGATCAGGATTTTTGAGACCGATCGCAGATCACAGGAAGCAGTATCTGCTGATACCAATCACCGATACCGATCTTTTTAAAGCCTTCTTTTTATCATTTATAACTATATATAGTGATACTCCAATCAAGATTTTTAGACATTTATTCAGGGCCTGAATTTCATTTTTGAAAATGGGGGGAATTCCCCTCTTAGGTGACTCTTGTGAGAGGAGAAGCAGCTTTCACAAAGGAGTCCGCTACTGATCCGTGGCTGTTTACCACAAACACAACATTTATCCATTAGTTTGATTTCAAATCCAAACATTGTCACTGAAAATGCTTTTTCAGCATTG